AACTGTTGCAAGTATATTCGCGTAGTTAATTTTTGTTAAGGATGGAGTTATTCTAGAGAGTACAGAATAACCAGGACTTCGTGGCAAAGGAATTCTCTGAACTCTGAGCTTGTCTAGCACAAATGGACCGTTTACATCAGTGTTTCCAATGCCACAGCAAATCAGAACAAAAAGTTATGATTTTTTTAAACCAAATATTTTAGTTCATACCTTGGAAACTTCCATTCTGCATTTGAACAGCCCTTCTTTTGGGGGACAGGCCCAAAGGGATTAAGTCCTGGTGGTTGTCACAGACAAAATTAGTCATCCAGAATCATCCTTCACTGTCTCAACCTTCTTGAGTTGTTATCTGCCGTTAATATTGTACTTACTCTGAAAAAAGCAGAAAAGCCTCAAAACCAGCATGCCCTTCTAAAATCATTCTCTCTTCCTCCTCAAGTTTCTAACTCAGTGAAATTCCCACTCACTCAACCTCCCAAACTTGCAATCTTGAAGCCATTCTTACCTTCTGCCTGTCATTTCCCAACCTTATGCCATCAGTCAAGTTCTGCCCATAGTACATACCTCTTCATCAGCTCTCAAATCTCTCTCCTCTTCTTATTCCTCACTGCACCACTGTGGTCCAGGCCCTCGTCATCTGAACTACTGCACCAGGCAGCGTGGTACATACAGGGAAGGGGTCATGAGCTATGAGAGCAAACCAATTAGAGTTAGAATCCCTTCTTTTCCTCTTCTCTGGATGTGTGTCATGTTACTTACCTTACATGTTTGATCGTTTGTAAAAAGGGAATACTTACCTAACTTGTGGAAATCAACTTAATATAAGGAATCCAGAATAGAGGCTAATATGTGGGAGGTCTTCATTAAATGTCTTTCTTTTCTTGATCTTTCCCCACACCAGTCAATCTTAAATTTATACTATACAAAAATTGTGTCTGCAAATAATAAGCCCAATCAGGTCACTTACCTACTTAAAGACCCCTACTGACTTCCTATTGCTTTCAGGCAGAAATCTGAACATTTTATCATGGGATAGATCTTCCACAATCTTGTCCAAATTACCTTACCTGCTTCAACTTAGAGCAAGAAGTTAGGAAGCTCCTACACCATCATATCCACCTTTTCTTTCCCT